TTTGATGGAAGGTCTATATTTTGGGGGAAAAAAGAGTTCTTGGGAGGAGATTGGTGGAGAGGTGAAAAAGGCCCCTGGGTGTATGCTGCCATTCAGGAGTGAAAGGGAGGAAGAAGAGCCCCTCCCACAAGCTTATTCTAAACCCTTACTTAGTAGTATTTTCAGCTACTTACGTCAACCGCCTTAGCACCGATCCCGTTCTCCTCTCTGCTGCTGTAAAGCTGTGTCCTTATCCAGACCCTTCACGGTGGCCATCTCGCTTCCCGCACTCGGCTGTTGCTCCTTCCGTCTGCGCGCTGTGTTACTGTATTTCTGCGACCAGCTGTTGTTCCCTTCCGACCTGCATGCAGGGCTGTCCGGTGCAGCAACCACCTCTCCTCAGACTTGCTTCCATTTGTTGTTCCATATTTCTGCGTGCAGCGACCGTGACCCACATTTCTWCACGCGGGCTGTTCCCGAAGACACTGCACAGGGGCTGTTTTCGTGCTCCTGCACGCTGTTGTGTCTTCACCGATCTTCGCTTGCTGCTGTTTCTCCATCCGATCTGCACGCATGCTGTTTCCTCACTTGCTGCTCGGTGCTGTTGATCCCGAAGGCCCTGCAGGGGCTGTTTCCTCATTTGCTGCTCGCTGCTGTTGATCCCGAAGGCCCTGCGGGGGCTGTTTCCTCATCGTCTGCACAGGCTGTTCCCAAGCGCTGTGCGGGGGGCTGTTTCCTCACCTTGTGCGTGCAGGTTGTTCCCGAGCCCTGCACACGGTTGTTGCCGTGCCTCTTTCTGCACTGCCGTGACCAAGCTGTTTTGTCCCGCCTTAATCTATCTCCTAGTTCCAGTTTTGGACAGCCCCTAACTCTTCACTGTGAGTCCACTTTTACTGTTAAAATCATTATGCTTATATTAACATTGTGTTTTGTGCCTCAAGTCTTAATGCCTAGATAAAAATAACTATTTTAGACGAATTATATCTTGGTCGAAGGAGATGAACTCGGATGATCCCATTAATGAAGAAAATTGGCTTGGGTAGATGGTTTTGATCACTTTAGGTAGAATAACCATTTCTCTAAGTGTTATTAACCGTTGAATCCTAAAAACCTTTCGCTAGTAGTTTGAGGTTCCTTATTTGCAAGGGAATTATTTTTGCTTGAGTTATGACATGCGTGGAGTCTTTTGGTTAAATAAATTCTATTATGCTTATGGTACCTTTTCAAGTGTGCCACTCGAATGTAATAGGCCTAGTGGCACGGTAGACCATTCCATTGTTTTCTTGCGTGAAGGATGGTGTGAAGTGGAGTTAGGCATTGTGATTATTGTGTAAATTCCAAACCACCTTCACGCTCCCACTCGAAAATAGGCATTGTGATTAGTATGTAATTTTTGAGGTAAAAAGCTTAAGATCGCGACCGACTTCATGACTGGTTAGGTTGAGGTCAATGGTATTAAACTTAAGCGATGCTCTCTAACGTCGAATTATGACTTACTTCGTGTTCCATCATAATTAACGGTAAATCGGGTCTCCCCCGTCATCTTCGGATGTCTTGACTCTCCCACGTTTTATTTATGACTCATTTTCTTTATATATATATAAATATCGTACGATACTACGTCATTATTTATATTTATATGGTGCATGTATATCCGTCCTTGAATAAAAAGTCTTATAACTACACCTATCCTTATTGGACTCACTAAGCGTAAGCCTAACACTTTTATTGACTTGGTTGCTTATCAGGTTCCTTTAGCGGCGGGGTATTGAAGGGTTGAAAAGTTGTCGTTGGTAAATGCCATTTTTGAAGATGGTGTACTTATGGGTCCGAGCGTTGCTAATTTTGATTAAAATTCGTTTTGTTGGAGATGGTATAAACACTCGTACCTAATCTAGGCATAGTAAGGTTTAGATTATTAGGTTGTTATTTATCGTCTCATTTTCAAGTTGTAAACGCGTTACTTTCCCCTTTGTTGGACGATCTATCTATTTTATATCGTTGGGAGATTTTGGTTAAGATTATCTTTTTTCTCGTTGATATTCTTTTTTTTTTGGGTGTTACAAAATCGGAGTTAAATAAAACATGGTTAAAATTATAAACTGGTAATAAGCAGTTTTTCATAAGTCAGGAAGGATTAACTTATCAAAAAACAGCTTATTACCGGTTTGACACCGGTATAAACAATTTTTTTATCCAAACACTATAAAACAACTTATCACCGGTGCCAGACTGAAATAAGTTAAAAAACAGTTTTTATAAGTAATCCCAAACACCCCCTAACATTGATATAATTTTTTTCAAATTTTTATGATATCTCCAAATTTATATTTTATTCAAAATAAAATCATTATTGTTTTCTTAAAAACACATAAAATCGTATTATAACATTAACAGTGCGTCTCGTTGTATTGTGTGAGTACTCTTCTAGTAATTCATATAAAAAGATTATTACTAAAATTTAATGTTGAAATTTACAAAATGAAAATTAAAATTTTACTTAAAATTTTGTTTTTTCCGTTATGCATCTCAAACTCAAATGCTACAAGTTTAGGGTGTCTGAGGATGTTAAAGAAATTCTGGAATTAAGTACGGAAGAATGGATGTGAATGCGACAGCGACGCAGACTCCATGAACTCAGTTAAAGAGGAGGTTAATTGGGGATGATGATGAGATATCAGAAGACGGTGAATGCAATGAAGATCAAGGTAACAAGTTGGGGTCGATCGATGAAGAAGGTGTGAAATTACCGGCTCCGTAATTGAACCCGATCCTTTAACGGAACGGAGAGGATCAATGTTGGAAACTTACTTGGTATGCTCGATTGTTTCACATGGGCTTCAGGTCTAAAAGTGAATCTCAATAAAAGTAGACTTTTAGGTATTGGGGTGAAACTAAATGATGTTGAAGAAATTGCCACCTGGGTTGGATGTCGTGCTGATTCACTCATTTTGAATATCTCGAGATGCCGGTTGGAGCTAATATGCAGTGTATTCGTAACTGGAGCCTGGTGATGGAGAAATTCTATAAAAAATTGTCAACTTGGAAGGCGAGGTCGATTTCTTTTGATGGTAGATTAACCCTCGTCGAATCAGTCCTTCGAAGCCTCCCATTGTATTTCCTATCGATGTTCCATGTGTCGTTGAGTGTTATAAAGCTCCTTGAGATAGTGAGACATGAGTTCTTTTTGGGGGTTCAAATGGGTGTAAGATGACATTAATCAAATGGTCTATGACCCTCTCTCCTTACGAATTGGGGGGGGGGGGGGTTAGACATCAGAAGCATTAAGGGTATGAATTGTGTCTTCCTAGGAAAATGGTGGGGGCGTTTTAATTCTGACCATAATTCTTTGTAAATCAAAGTCATTTGTAGCCTCTACGATCTCGACGGGGGTCTTGGTTCGAAAAAGGTAGGTTTCACTAGGGGTCGGGGGAGTGTTTGGGGAAATGTCATCTCTTTGGGTTAGTCTCTAGACCCTTACGGAGTGGAATTCACCTTTTTTTTTGTCAATAAATTAGGGGACGAGTCATCCATTTTATTTTTATTAGATAAGTGGTTGGAAATTTTCGTTTGTGTGATCTTTTTCCAAGGCTATCTAGCTTCGAAAAAGATAAATATAACATACAGTACAACTAACACCGATTACCTTTTTTTTTATTTTTCGATGATTTCGACGAGGCCCTCTTATTTAACCCGAACAACCAGATAGTCTAAGGTGAAGGATAGAGGGTGTTGGGTTGAGTTAGGGCACCAAGGGGTCATATCGTCTTGTTACAAAATTCAAAACCATCTGTAAAATCGTGGGGATGCTTGGTGGTGATGCTTGGATGACGACGGAAAGTTCACGGTCAAAAAACTTAAGACTTTGGTTGAGGAGAAATGTCGCACAACCGGTTATCCTGATCCAGAAACTCATTCAAATAAGCTTGTACCAAGAAAGATCAACATCTTTATATGGCATGTCATCCATGGTCGACTCCCGGTTAGAGTTGCGTTAGATAACCGGGGAATCTATTTGGATGTAATTATTTGCCCGAGACGTAATGAAGACGCCAAGACGATAGATAACTACATCGTGAATTGCTTGATTGCTAGAAAGGTTTGGGCTCTTTTTCGAAAATGGTGGAACATTGATGTCGAATTTGGTCGCTTCATGTTCGTGTTTCTAAATTTCCAAAGGGCCCTTCCTTCTCTTTATGGTCGAACCATGTCCTACAGGCTTCTACTTGGGCTACTTACTTTGGAACCACTGTAACAATACAATCTTCAGGAACAAGTTGGACTCTGTCGAGATGTAAGCCCAAATTTTCGAATGAGTGTCTAGACGAATCTGTGAAGGAAACATTTCTTAGGAATTGTGGAACGAGAATCTATCTCGTCTCCCCCTTACCGGATGAGATGCATTTGGTATGGGATCTTAAAGTTTTAATGGTTTTTATAAAAAACACCAAAAAACAGAAAGGAGTTACAAAAAGAGAGGAAAAACATGATAAGACAATTTTACTCAGGCTCTAACGGATCTTTTTAATGACCTTAGTGATAAGGTCCATTTTCACAGTAAATTTTAAATCTCTAGGACTACTTCTTGAGTTATCAAAATTTAGGGGCCGTTTACCAAACATTTACCGGTAAAATTAATACTATCATTTACTTACCGAGTAAGATTTTAGTCAATCAAAACGACATCGTATGCAACAATTTATCCGGTAAACACTTACCGTGGTAAGAGTCATTGCCCTCACTTACTAGGTAAGATTCTTGGTTCTTACCATATTCATCCGATGATGTAATATGATTTAATAAACATTTACCCGAATAAACGTTTGATAAATAGCCCATTGGTTTCGATTTTTAGAAGAAATCAGGTTATTGTAAAAATGGTAACAATTTTTTCTTTATAAAACTGGCATTTGCGACATGAGACGGATAAATACCAAAAAATAAAGAAAAGGAAAAAAAAGAATGGAAGACTTGAAGCGCCTATAAATAGCGGGCTACCGACCATTCCTTCTTGAAAAAACCATCAAATTCACCCTGGAAAATATCTATCCATTTTCTTCAACGATGGATTCCTTCTCGTCGTTCTTCGATTCGCGATCACAATCGGCTTCACGTAACAGTTGGACTTACGATTCTCTCAAGAATTTTCGTCAAATCTCTCCCGTTGTTCAGACTCATCTCAAACAGGTATTACTTTTGCCCTAAGTTGTACGAATTTTACTGTTTTCGGAGTCTGGAATGGTATTTGTTTCTTTTTCTGTTAGTACATGATATTATTTGCTTTGATATGAGTTGATTTAGACGCATAGTTATCTGATGAATCCAATTTTTAACTAAATTTGGTTTTTGGTCCTCGGCCTATGATTGATATATGAGAAACTAAGAATTTTCTTCTTTTTTGATCGTTAATTTTGATATATGTTTGATATCTGGTCTTCATTTCACGTTGTCGGCTATTTATTCATTTAGGTGTCATCATAATGAGAAACAAACTACTCTTTGTTAATTTCGGTCTCGTCGTACTCAAAACAAGTTTCCCCTTTCTCTTTTATGTTTTCTTATGGTAGATATGAAGTTAAATTGGGTTGGATGCCAAGTGGTTATGGCGTGAGGTTGTAATTTAGGATTTGGAGGTATTTGGCTAATATGTTGATTTGGGAACGAGGGGCTTCTCGTTGATTGAAGATGTTAATCGAACCCTAAACTTGGGCCTTGTACATGAAAAACTTCAGACATTTTCCCCCTTTTGCTTCTACCTACATCGGGATGGCCGTTGATTACCAGTCTGTGAAGGTGTTTACACTTGCTTTACAGAGTTACAGTTCTTCTGGTCCAGAAAATTGCAAATAATTCCTTTTCTTGAATCACTTGTTTTATCCATTGTCATTCATTACAAATTAATGATTTATTGGTTTTTGTTATGAATCTTCAAGTAAAAATTACTCTCTTCCCATATAAGTCTGTACAAATTTGTTATTTTATTGGTTTTGATCCATCCAAATTTATCTTTTAGACATTTGACAACTAGAATTCCTTTCCTCATCTGACTAAAATCATTTGCCCTTTTTATCACGATGAAATACAAATTGGTGATTATGTGTGTTGGCTTTGATGTGCAATAAATATCCTTCAGACTTTTGACAATAGTCAAGGCAGTGCTCAGGAAATTCCTGGATTATATGCCCTTGTTTTCATCCTTTGTTTGTTGATCAAGTGTGGAAGTGTCTCTTTGTTTTGGTTCTGCAAGACAAAGCTGATATATAAGTGGAATTGCAGGTTTATTTTATTTGTCATCTTGTAGCAGTGTCTTTGGATTTTGATTGTTTAAGCCTTTAAGGTCATGATTGACTGACATTAATGTAATTGCAGGTTTATCTGTCACTATGTTGCGCTCTTCTAGCATCTGCAGTTGGGGCGTATCTTCACGTTCTTTGGAATGTTGGTGGTTTGCTGACTACTTTTGCAACCTTGGGATGCATGTCTTGGCTACTTGCCACCCCTCCCCATAAAGAGGTAAATCAGTTGATGAGCTTCGCCTGCTTAAAATGGATCATTGTTGATATATATATATATATATATATATATATATATATATATATTTATATATATGGTCTAATGGTCATTCTCTTGGATACAAACTTATTGCTTTTCTATCTTTTTACGAGCAGCAAATGAGGGTTTCTCTATTGATGGCATCTTCTGTTCTCCAAGGGGCCTCCATTGGTCCTTTGATCGAGCTGGCCATTGAATTTGACCCAAGGTATCTTTGTCATCCTTCAATCTTCATATGTTGGAACTTAATAACCCATCAAATTACTTTTTGGTATCTGGGTATAAAAGGCACTTTGTGGTTCTGATGTAATTCTGTTGGTCCTTGGCAGCATTCTGGTGAGTGCATTTGTGGGAACTGCGATTGCCTTTGCTTGTTTCTCGGGAGCAGCCATGTTGGCCAGGCGTAGAGAGTACCTCTACCTTGGAGGTCTTCTCTCCTCTGGTGTCTCCATTCTTTTCTGGCTCCATTTTGCTTCATCCCTCTTTGGAGGTTCTTTGGCCCTGTTCAAGTTTGAGGTAAAATTTCCCTTTTAATCCCTGATATACCACATTTCTCGAGTGTTATTTTTTGTTTTGCAAAACGAAACACCCATAATCTAGGAAATAGAATTAAACACAATTTTGGCATGGGCTCGATGTAATTGTAACATTTACCCATTTATACACTTGTATAACTTGGAAGCTACAAAATAACCAACCATAAGCTAGTCACATACATATACACTAGCTATATACCGGGTGCCAACAATTCTTTAACCACCAAAAGTATAAGTTTCCATAAAGTAATATTTCCCAAAATATGGTTTCTTCCAAAAGCTTGGGATGCCCACATATGTCTTCTAGTGCTTTCCGTCATTAAATCTGGCCTTAGCTTCTGTTCCTGGACATACGCGGTAGTGGTCTAATAACCGGTTGACGAAGAAGCATGAATCAGTTCATCTATACCGTTGCCCAACTCAGGCATGTCGTGACCTCCCAGGTCAATGTACCTACATAGGTGTTTGTATGGCCCCCCAGGCCCATTCCTGATAGTGGTCTACTTGTGCTCCCAACCCCCAGCTTTAACCGTCTTTAAATGAACATCTCACGTTCTATATCATGATAAAAAAATGTATCACAATTAAACATACCCCATATATTTATTACAACAAATTAAGCATGCTTCCACAATTCAACATATCCCATATATTTATTTCAACCGATTAAGCATGATTAACTATACAAGTAGGATAAAAGCTCAAACTCACCTTGTTGGGTGGATGATGATTCGACTCCTTCCTCCTTTAGTCCTTTAAAATGACATGTAATTTTCATTAGTTCACCATTCATGAACTCTTGAACAATTTAAACCGTAAATGATCAAATAGAGTTTACATATACACAAATCATTCAATCATTACTGACTTACACATATATGTACATATATATTTACCAAAACAAAATCTGAAAATTTCTAATCTTCATCTCAAAATCAAAGGATATCTCCTATGACTAAATTTCTTGAATTCCGGACATACCTTCAATTATCCAATGAGAACTCCAAACCTAATGATTTTTGAGTATGTTGTTTCTCTTCATATTATGAATAAGTTCTGTGAAGAAGTCAAAAGCTAATTCTTTAAAAATCATGACCTGAAATGGAGTTTTCTCTCTGTTCTTGCATCCAGAAAACCCCAGAAAAACGTCACTGAAAATACTTCGAAGAACATATCTAAACCGTTTCAAATCAGATCTCGACCGTTCAAATCAAAGATAAGCGAGTTGGGAAGTTACCTGCAAAATTTCAGCTCAATTGGACAGTAATTTCTTGTCGATCAGACCACATGTTGAGGACTGCAGAATGCTGTATGAAAAACCGAAAAAAGAAACCCTTTTGATTCCACTCCTTCCTCTTCTTGATTTTTCTCCTACTTTTATTCTCCCTTGATACCTCAAACCTTATCTTCTGTTTCCTCCTTTCAAGAGTAAAATGAGAGGATAAATGTAAGATTTTAACTTAAATAAACTATAAAATCTGCTTTTTTTCATTATGGACCTTAAGCACCTCAAAATTATTACAATATTTTTAAATTATATATATAGAGAGAGATAATATATATATATATATATATATATATAAGCATAATCAACGAATTTCTATCTTATTACATTATAAGAACATACCTGACAAATTTACGGGTGTTACACAAACCAAGGGTCTTCATGGGCACAACTTTTCTACCCCTTCGGATAGAAGGAACACTATGTTCTCGAATTTGGGAGGAAAAGAAAATAAAGGGGAGGGAAAATACTGCAAAGAGAAGAGAACATAGATGATATTTTCTCATCTATTCCTTTTCTTTCCCTCCTAAAAAGTTTCTAATACGTATTTTTTGTCCCCCCCCCTCCCCGCCCTCCTTCCTTTTCGTTTGAAAAAAGGTTTTAAAAACACAGTGTAAGAGGTAAGGTTTGCGTACATCTACCCTTCCCAAACCCTACCTGTAAGTAAGTGTATTATACTGGGTATTTTGATTTGGTTTTAAAACCCCCTGATTCATCGTTTTGCTGCATAAGTATGGTGATAATTACTTTGTATATGGACTACTTGGCAGCTGTACTTTGGACTTCTGGTTTTTGTTGGGTACATGGTGGTTGATACCCAGGAGATCATTGAGAAGGCTCACCTTGGAGACTTGGATTATGTGAAACACGCACTCACGCTTTTCACTGATTTTGTAGCAGTCTTTGTCCGCATCCTTATCATCATGGTTAGTTGTGTCATCTAATGTTTGTTATCAATGGTGAAAAGGGTACATGAATACCGACAAGTGTTTATGCAATAGAAAATTATGAGATGTATATTGATCTGATGATTTGATGGTTGTATGCAGTTGAAGAATTCAGCCGAGAGAGAAGAGCGGAGGAAGAAGAGAAGAGATTAGATTCTGGTACACAACTGTCACAGACTTCTTTGTCGTTTTCTTTTTACGGTTTTTCAGTACTGAAACTGAAACAACGCAGTCGTGTCTTGTGATCGATATGTGATGAATGTCATATTAACCCTTTTTAACTTGCACATACAAACAATGTGGATATGGCTTGCTTTGGCATTTGACAAATGTGTAAGTAACTATATTTTCTTCATCAATATCGTTTATACCGTTCTTCAGGAAACAGCTTTTCTACCGTTTGGTAGAGTTGAGGTCTCTGCTTATATCTTACCCTTCTGGGATATGAATCTGTGTGAGATTTATTGGATTTGTTTGGTGTAGATAAAGATTTATGGTAGTTGTTGAGAGAGACTACTTTGTACTAAATTTAATGTTCTTGAGGTAGAAGAAAAAGGGTTAATATGACATATTTGTCCCTCGCCTGAGGGGCACATGATAGAGTTAACGGAGCCTCATCTAACTGTGTTAAGTAGAGGGACTAATGTGGGTTTTTAAACACGTAAAATGGACTCTCGTGTGTACATCATCAAAAGGAAAGGATCATGAATGAAATTCACTTATAGATTTTATTTTGACAAACTTGAAGAACAATTTAAGATTTGATTTTGAGGTGAGATTGAAAGTGAAAGGACAAATGGTTGATTGTATTTGGTTCAATAAGTTTTGTCCCTTTTGAGGTTGGTACAACTATTTTAGGCAATTATGATTCTCTTGTTACCCTTATTTTCCTTTTGTTTCAAGTATGTTCTCATTGTTGCTTCATGGTTCTTGCTTAGAGATGCATGGAAGGTTTTCAAGGATCCGTTGCTGGTCTGGTCTGGTCTGGTCCGGTCTAGACTTTTGCATCCGATTCAGTTATATTTCAAAACCTAGGACTAAATAATGACTGCGACCAATTTGGGCTTTGGTCAAAGCTCGATTCGGGAAGGTATGAACGTTCAGGCTTGTTTTCGCGAAAGAAACATGTCAAGGCAGTTAGTTGTATTTGTCGGATCCAAATCAATCATTGTTTGTTTTTAAACGCAAGGCCAATATGAACCGAACCTTTTTTGAGCAATTGGGGCAAACCAAACCAAACCAAACATCATCCCATGCGCAACTAGTTTTTACTTGATCTGTTAACATTCCTGACATATTTTGTATTCCAAGTCAGGTTTAAGTTTTAAATGATCGAAATTCATATACAAACATTAACATGCAACATCTATATTAGCAAAGCTTTTTTGAAATCAAAGGGATTATTTCTCAAAAATTCAATGAATTATTAACAGTTTTTAAGCGTTTACCAAGTCACATTATCTTACTTGATGAATATGATAAGAACCAAGAACTTACCCGGTAAATGAGAGCGACGTCTCTTACCATGGTAAGCGCCTACCGGGTAAATTATTGCATACGATGTCGTTTTATTGGACTAAAATCTTACCCGTTAAGTAAATGATAGTATTAAATTTTATCAATAAACACTTACCGGATAAGCGTTTGGTAAACGAAACCTAATTGCTTATATAGAATAAAATGAATTTATGGAGGAAAAGAATAGGATGAAAAGGTATTTGTGGTGATGGTGATCAAAGATTATGACATTTTGGTTGCTTTTAATTAAATGAATTAAGTAAAGTCATGTGAAACATCGTATGACTCACCCCATTCACCATTTTTCATCAAATAATGCCAAAAATTAATTAATAATTTATTATATATCTTTTTGAGTTTAATTTTTTGTTATCATGTTTGATCTTTACATGTTCAAATTTAGTGTTTAGATATAAAAACTAACATCATTTACAATATAAAACCACAACACTCTTTACTTTGAAAAATATTACTAAATTAATCTCCTTGTCTTTAATATATAATTTATTATTTAATTAAAATGTGAAATATTCCAAATATGTCTTCAAATACCATCTACCTTTTAAAATACCCTTTTTCCGAAGGTACAAAATGTTTAATATCGATATCCATATGAATCATTTACGACACATTTGAAGATTAAAACATTCCATTCCGGTTTTCAAACAAAAGTATAAAACTAAATATAATATATATTAGAGTAAATTAAGGATTTGGTTCCCCGAGGTTTCTAAAATATTTTGGATTTAGTCCCCAGAATTTGTTTATCACAAGATAGACCTTAAAGTTTGTATTTTCGTAACACATTGGTCCCTGTCTCTAACTTCGTCAGTGCATGCTTCATTAACCTCCATATTGATGAGGGTAAAATCGTCTTTTTAGGTTTCCCTGTTAAGCTTCATATACGTCCACCTAAACCATCGATTCGTTCATTCTTGTCCTTGCCGAAGTGGAAGCTTCAAAGCTATTCTCAAATGGTTGTAATATCACTACCAGAAAAGTGAGGTTTGGCGACACGCCTTTAGCGACTACATGACGTTGCTATAAACTGTTTGTGATGATAAATGGACTTCAAGTGACAATAAAAGTCGTTGCTAAAACCCCTATTTCTTCTAGTGTATGCGACTATGGAGTGATTGCAAGTGTTCGAATACCAGATAACCATATGAATTTGTATTAGTTAAACATTAAACATGTGCAAAATTCCTCGTCCTTCATGGACCATCAGAAATCCTGGTCAAAGATTCTATTGTTGTTCAAGACCAGTAAGTCATATTTACTCTAAATTCTCATCATATCCAGTTGAAAGCCAGAATTTTCTACAGGTTTCAAACTGTGGCTTTATTGAACGGTTAGACCCATAAATGCGTAACCGTTCTATACCAAAAGATGATACAAACAATTTCATACAAATAGTCATCAGATATGTTGAGGTAACACCATCTAACATGTACATAAAAAAAATACAAATAGCATGTTCCAATAAGTGTGTAACTTGGATTACCAAAAGATCCATCCCGTTCATTACCATTAAAACGCAAGTGAGAAGTAGCCATTCTATTGGATTACATAACCAAAAAACCGACACTGGAAAATAACCATAATAATGTTTACGTAACCTAAAAGAAAGAGCCATAGACAAGCTTAGTGTTTTCAAACATAACCTATCAAAAAGAACATCCTAAGACGACTGAACTTAACAAATCCAAGCTTCATAGTAGCGCTATTCACTGGCGGACGGCCCGTTAGACCCGTCCTGTCTGGCTCACTAGAAAAGCGAGCTTAGATTACCATTCTCGAATAAACGGGTGGGCCTGGACTGTCTTGTAAAAATTAATGGGTGGGCATGCTCAAAGAACCCTCTCACTTTAGACATATTGTATTCGTAAAATATTTGTAATTGTTTTATAGATTACTTGGTTGCAACCTTTTCATAAATCGGGTCCTATTATTTCGCATTTCTGTATCATTTGTTAGCATTCTGTAGCACATAAACATAATATATAGTAGATCAAAGAGAAATGTCAAATGCACACAAATAGACTGTATATAAATTATATATCTAAGTATTATTACAAATTAAAGTTGATTTCAACTGCAACTGTAGATCTCACGTCCTTGCAATCTCTTTCAAATGATATAATTATTTCTGAAGCTTCTAGTACTTCTTCATCAGCTATTGTTTTATGCTGACAATTTTCTTTTTGCAAAACAACTGATTTTACTTTGGTCTTCTTTTACAATTCTTAACCATATCATAAAAGTTTCGTAAAGTAAATTCCTACAGACGCTAACCTTTGAACCGTTACTCAAACTAGTATGATTTTTGTGTTTCAATTGCGTATTTTTTCATAATCATTCAAAAGTCTCTCTACGATTGAAGGATGAGTGCGTTCTTGGACTATCAGACTCAGAAAGAAAAGAGACAGTGTAACCCTCTCCGACTTTTTCTATCCATCCTTATTTTTTCAAGATCTATGTATTGGTAAAGTTTGGAGATCCAGATTAGAGATGGCCAAAAACCGGTCCTGGGCCGGTCCCAATCGGTCCTCACCATTCTCATAACCGGCCATAACCGGTCCCGGCGTAACCGGTCCCGGTCTCGGTTCCGGTCCTGGTCGAAAATGATAGGACCGGTATAGGTACTTTATAACCGGTTATGGGCCGCCGGTCCCGGTCCCGGTCCCAACCGGTCCTTCATTAAAAAAATAAGATTTTTTATTTTATTTTTTTAATGATATATATTTTTAATACATTATAAAATTTACAATTGGGTCACTCAAATACACTTTAAAAATGCGTTTTAATATAATTAAAATTACGTTTTCTTATAAAAATACATTATAAAATTATTTAAAAATACATTTATTTATAAAATTAATTGAATTTTCGGGCCGGGCCGGGCCGGGCCGGTCCATAGTCGGTCCCATAACCGGTCCCGGTCCCGGTCGGTCCCGGTCCCACGAAACTATCAAAAACCTCAACCGGTCCCGGTTTTCGGTCCCATAACCGGTCCTTACCGGTTCCGGTCCCGGGCCGGTCCTTTGTCGGTCCCGGTCCCGGTCCTCCAGTGGTCCCGGGCCGGGCCGGGCCCATTTGGCCATCTCTAATCCAGATGGTCGTAACTATTTTGTATTTTTTTTCATAACGTTTTGTAACCATTTCTGTAGTAAATTTAAGAGGGTCGTTACTTTTGACTCGTAACTAGAATTGAAATGATTTTGTTAAAGTTGCTTAATTTTTCAAGATTTACATGCTAGTAAAATCTAGAATACAGATGTCTGTAACCGTTTTGTAGTAAATTTCAAGTAGATAACTTTCTACTAGTAATATGTTCAAGATGAACACAAAAAAAGATAACCACAAGGGTGGTGCCTGATTGGTTTGAGCTCGACTCCAAAAGTCAAAAGTACCAGGAGGTCCCAAGTTCAAATCCAAGGAGGAATAAAAATCCCCTTGTGGCTACGGAGGTTCAAATGCGATGACTCCGGACTATCTGCAAAGCAGATGGTCGTTCTGGGATTAATCGGCTTGTATAGCGGGTTGGATATCCAGGTTAATAAAAAAAATTGTGAAGTAACAAGAATGGGAAATAAATGAGATAAGAGCTAAATCTAGGGTAGGTTTAAATGAGGGATAAATTTGGAATAAAAATGATTTTAGGCATATATTTGAGAATGTAACAATGGAGAACATTGTTGACATTTGATACTATAATAAACATAAAGACTATTTTTTTTTTCCTAAATAAGTTTAATTAAAATGCAATAAATAATCTGTTGGGTTTTAGTTTGTGAAAATAACTGAATAAAAACGCAGCGGAAAAACAGAGCCCGGTTACAAAAACGTTTAGAATTTTTTTCTAAATAAAACCCAAAGTCGGATCCATTGACAATTAAAACGAATTTACACAAACCATAGGGTGTTTAAAATATTTACCTTGTGGTTGAAATTGAAACTTTGATGTAGCACTAAGAAACCAAATCAGGTTTCCTCTATCGGTTGTCTACACACGAACATGCTTGGAACTCCCACCGGGTGCTAGCCCAAAGAATCCTAATTCTATAATTGTATCGTAAGGGTTTTGAGGCTACAACTAGTTATCATAACTCAATTGTCTACTTTGGTTTAGCCCCTATCCTTATTTATATGGTCAGTTTTCGAGATTGACCATAACTCTTAATAAGGCTTAATCATTATCTAAAATGATTATTTATCTATCTAATAATATCTTATATAATTATCTAAAAATATTTAAGATAATTATATACATATTTATAGATTAAACCCTGTAATTATAATAAGCACAAAACGGTACACATGTCTAGATTTTTTCTTTAGTGGAAGCATACGTGTTCTTTGTGTGTGACCCTTTAGTTTTACATGGCTCGTTGGCAGTGTATCTGGATGACACATATCGTAGGTATAACATACAACTTACATAATCAAATTAAGAAATTTATACAAAATCAGTATACATGGGCTGTTTGTTTACCTCTTAATAAATCCATTAAGAGGCAACCTTTGAATCGTTAAGAGGTGAATCTTGTTTGACAAAAAAAAAATCTATCTTTTAATGGTTTTAAAACACTATGAATAATTTTGTATCCTAGATCTCCTTTAACCATTTAACGCCTTAATTTCATTGTAAACAATTGTCAAACAATTATATTTTATTTTGTACTATTTCGTGATAGACTCTTAATAATTTCGACCACTTAACCATGCTGCACCAAATTATTCAGCAACTGTCAAACAGCTCCATAGTCTTTTTCAAATGACACCATTCAAGAAAATATCATTTTATGTTAAATATATATGATATTTTTAAAAAGATAAGTGACGATTCTCATAATTTATGTTAGTATCGTTTTATTTAAAAGACTTTAATAAATGGAAATGATTATCTATTTACAAATGTACCATTTTACCATTTTCATTTAATAAATTGCTATTAATAATCGTTAGGTTAAAAGTGTGTGTGCGTGAATGAATGTGTGACATGGAATGTCGTATATCAGTATATGTAGTATTAACTTTTAACTTTTAAGTCTTTACCCGTTTTACCCTTCTCACAAGGTGACTCTTCAGTATTTTTGTGATAACCACAAACAATTATGGTCGTTCATTGCCGTTGAGTTTCCACTTCTTGCTTTCAACCGGTGATTACTATTCTGCCGTAAAAAGCCCGACCAAAATAACTCATCCACCGTCACCTTAACTTTCTTAAATCACTACCCACTACTAATCGATATATCTCCTTCTTATCATAGTTGTTTTGTTCCTTTTCTTATCATATGCTTTTGTATTTATGTACGTTTTTCTTGTTTTCATCGTCGTTTTATACAATTAGGTCTATCGTCATTTCCATGACAAAAAAGGGACATATCCATGGCCTTGGTATTTTTTGTCTTCTATTTTTTGCATTTCATAAATGGATAACCGATAATTGGAGGATGCATATAAGCATGAATGATTGATTAATGATGGATGTTTATGGTTCATATTACGCGTATTTCAGTCATACTTATTTCAAATTCAAAATCTCCAACACCTAATTAGATTTGGGAATCGATCATACGACAATAACAATCGAGATGTGCAAATCATAGAAGGAAAATGATATGAAAAATAAGGTACAATTATATATATATATATATATATATATAAATAATATACATAGAGTTTGTTTCAAATGTAATCTATTATATTTGTAGAATTAATGTAACCCAATAAATTGAAATATTTATGGAAATGATGAGATTTCATTTATTATGATTTAAATATTTATGGAAAATGAATAAGGTTTATTAATTATGATCAATACTTTATATTATGAAATAATCAAAACTTTTATGAAATTACATATTCATCAAATTAAATGGACGATTGAAATTGACTTGTATTGGTTGTACAAATGTAAAAGGGTTGTATAATAACCAACCCTCTCTCTTTCTCTCTCTCTCTCTCTCTCTATATATATATATATATACATAGAAGTGAGTTATTATACAACCTCTTTATTTGTAGAACCAGTACAACTCAATCTCAACCGTTCATTTAATTTGATGAATACGTAATTTCATAAAAGTTTTGATTGTTTTCTAATATAAAATATTGATCATAATTAATGAACCTTATTTATCTTCCATAAATATTTAAATCATAATAAATGAAATCTCATCATTTTCATAAATATTTCAATTTATTGGGTTACATTGAATCAATATGATAAATTGCATTTGAAACAAACTCTATATAAAGGTTAATTAAAGAAAATATAAAAGGGTAATTAAAGATGAGTAGAGAGAAATTAATAAATAAAATAATAAAAGCCAAAGAAGAAAAAGCTACTTAAAAAAAAACCATCAAATACAACAAGAAGAATAGAGGGTCACACACATACTCTCTCTCTCTCTTTCCCCCATTTTCACCTTCTTTTGACAACCATTTTTATAGATTCCTTCCCAGTTAGTCTTTCCTTTCTTCTTCTTCTTCTTCCATTGGATTATTGTACAGATTGCTATGAAACAACAACAACCCATCTAAAAATCCTCCATTTTCTCTTCTATTTTCTTGTTTTTCTTAGATTTTGTTCATCTTCTGTTGCTTTTCCAACAGATTTAGCCTCATTTTCTTCTGGGTTTCTTCAAATCATCCTCTTTAAGGATTTGTGTGTATATATATATATGTATATGTATTTTCTGGGGTTTTAATTTCTGTACAAAAAGAAAAAGTGTCTTCTTTCAAGAAGGATTAGTTCATTTCCCCTCTTTTCTTAAACTTATTGGAAACCAAAAAAGAAAGTTAATAGAGACATGGGAAAACAGGGACCCTGCTATCATTGTGGTGTTACAAGTGAGTTCTTCCTTTGGGCAATGACTTTTTGGTTTGACTTTTGATTTTGTTCACAAGATTCATTCTTTTTTGCTATCTTCTTCAGTTATATGTTGTTTCTTATGCCCAGATTAGGTGTTGGGATCATGTTTGAGAACACCCATATGCTGCTTTCGTCTAAAATTACATGAACAAGTGTGAATTCTTGTTTGTTCTTAAGAAATTTCATTTAGTTTCAGGAAACTGGAGTCTGTTGGTTGCTTCAAATTGCTTAGTGAATGTCTAATTACAGCAACTTCTTGGAATTTGAGTTGTGGTTTCTTGAAATTGGATCTTTGACTTCATCAAAATAAGGAGTAGCCTCTTTTTGAATTCCCTTTGTGTTTTTGTAGCTTTATTTGACTTGTAATTTGGTACCCTTTCTGGGTGTTTTGCCTCTTGAAAATCTTGTGTTTTCCTCGATAAAATTATCGAATCCATTGTTTTGTTGATCTCTCATTTGTTCACCAACTAGAACTTGTGTTTTTCAAATTTATATGCCAATCTTGGTTTGGTGTCTTTTTGCAACTTCTATGTCCTGCATTTCATATATTTCTACCTTAAAATTTCGAAAATTAAGGTTCGAATTTGTGTGGACGTTTCTTTCACCTCGTGAAAAAGAAATTGTATGACTTTATAGCATTGCTTCAAAACGATGTGTAATCATACTAATACTAATGCACCGGATACGATTAGAACTCTTTGGTTAAGATGGCTTCCAAGAAACGAAAGAGTCTACAATTTATTGTATATGGTCCAATTGCTTCGTGATGAATGAGTCTACAAGTTATTGAACCATAACTTCCAAATGGCAAATACTGATAATGGGTTCTTGCACATTGTTTCACATCTTCATGATAATGGCAAATAATGATAAGGAGTCTTGGTGCATCGGGTTTTCTTCCCAATAAACCAAACCAAACCAAACGATCCCAATATATCTTGCTTGAGAACAGAGTTTGAGGAAGTATGCAGACATGACCTCTACCCAAAGGATAGAGTATTTATTTCCAAATGAAAATGGTTTCTTCCCAATCAAGCATGAATATATGTGCACAAAACCCACATTTCTTTGCTATTCTTCGTTTCACTTCACGAATTAGTAGCTCGGAATATATTACTTTTGTCATTCTTCTTGGACACTAGTAAAAATTTGTTGAATCATGACTACAGGCACCCCACTTTGGCGAAATGGGCCTCCAGACAAGCCGGTGTTGTGCAATGCCTGTGGTTCTCGTTGGAGAACGAAAGGAACACTTGTTAACTATACCCCACTTCATGCTAGATCAGAACCTGATGAGTTTGAGGACCGTCGTGTTTCAAGAGTGAAGGCGATATCCATTAAGAACAGAGAGGCAAAATTGCTAAAAAGAAAAGAGAACTATGAAAATGTGGTAGGCGGAAGTGGTGGCGGTATGCTTAGCGGTGGTGGTGGGTTTGCTTCCGGCCACCACAACCAGAGTCTTCATAAGGGACTTGATGAAGATACAAGCAATAGATCAAGTTCTGGCTCTGCTATCTCCAACTCCGATAGCTGTATGCAGCTTGGCAGTGCAGACATCAGTGATTTAACAGGTTTGTGACCACTTCATTTGGCGTAACCTGCAAATCATTTAGTAGTTGAAAATCAACATGACATATTTAGGTTTTCTAGACTAACAAAACTGTGTCCTGATTTGCATTTCCATCATTGAAAAATTAGAAACCATAAGCTAGCTTTTTGAAAAACTACTTCAAGTAGCATTTCAATAAGCACCTGGGCCTTTTTCTTTTCCAATTATATGCCCCTTACATTTTTTCAAATTAATTATTCTAACGTCCTTTTAGGTCATTGTACATTGTCATCTAGCTTATTCAACTAGTTTTTACTGACTAGTTTATTTAGCTTGCGAGCTATATGTTATCAATTTTAAGTGGACAAGGAATTGTTGATGTATTCTAGCAAGTATTGAAGATAAGTTTGAGCGTACCTTTGACTTGTTTCAGGTCCATCCCAATCATCTGTTGTGTGGGATACAATGGTACCTTCAAGGAAGAGAACATGTGTTAACAGGCCAAAACAATCATCTGTTGAGAAGCTTACTAGAGATTTATATACCATCTTACATGAACAACAGTCTTACTTTTCGGGATCATCTGAGGAGGATTTGATTTTCGAGAGCGACACACCCATGGTTTCTGTTGAGATTGGACATGGAAGTGTGCTTATTCGTCATCCAAACTCTGCAGCCCGAGAAGAGGAATCTGAAGCTAGTTCTCTTTCTGTCAATAACAAAAATGAGGCTTATTCGTGGTTGACTACCCTTCCTGTGTATGATGCCAAACAAAGTGGCAAAATTTCAAGCTGGGGGATCGATAGTTCCAAAATGCCAATGGACCAATGCAACAGGTAAGTACATAAAATCATCAATAGATAATTCTTTGTTAGAGGAATGGGATTGTTTGGTTTCACTAGTAAACTTTCATTGATAGCATCTACATCTTTATGTTGTTAATCACAGGGATCATGATGAAAAGTTACCAATACCTGCAAACCATAATTCACCTTTGTGCCACATAAATTTAAAAGTAAGTCCACTTCTTCTCTTGATTAAATGATCTTTTTCTCTTGGGTGGGGTGGATTAAGTAACTCAAATTGTGGTGTGTATCCTTGCTTTTGGAACTTGAATTTTGCAGGATATTATCAACTTCAAGGAGTTTGCATGTCACATGACAAATGATGAACAGCAGCAGTTGCTTAAGTATTTACCTCCTATCGATACCATTCAACTGCCAGATAGGTTTGCATCATATCCTTTAATATTAACCTGTCATCACTCAGATGGAGAACATACACAAAAGTTATGGTATCATCCATTCAGATAAATCGTCTTAGTTAATACACAGGAATTCAGCAAAGTAATGTTAGAGAGCAGAAAAGTTCATGTAAATGATTCTAATTAGTCTTTGTTCTCAATTCTACAGCCTCAAAAGCATGTTTGAGAGCCCTCAGTTTATGGAGAACCTATTCTCCTTCCAAAAGCTTCTTGCAGAAGGGAATTTTGATCTCTCTGTATCTGCAACGGAGAGTGAAGGATGCAGAAAATTGAAGAAGCTTGCACTTTGTAATGTGACAAAATGCAAGTGGGTGGAAGAATATAATCTGCTACAGGTTTGAACAAATTAAATATTACCCTGGACATCCAACGGAAATTAAAAGAATTACTTATATTTGTATTTTTTTTTGTGCTTGTAGGATGCAAAGTGTAAAAAAAATAGCAGGGGTTCTGTAGTTGCTGGAGTACTTAATACCATAGCACCTGGATGTTCAGTGAATGTACAGAGGTCACAGGATATGCAATTTCATTCCTTTCCAGGTTAGCCCCTTTTTGTTCTCTATAGCCATCTAAAATCCTTGCCCAATTAGGCTTGTCCAAGGGGTTGGAACTTTTCCGGAATCATTGATAAACTAGAGTCCCCGAGTCAGCGCCTTAGTTTTGGCCACTCCCAGTAAATGATCAGTTGTCCCTCAATGGACATACAGCAGATTCAACCCCTTAGGCATGGTTCACTGGTCTTTAAGGGTGCGCTTGGTATAGGGACAAGACTGGGCCAGAAGGGTGAACATGATGTCTTTTG